GGGAAGGCAAATCCAATTTGTGTTGCTATATTTTGTCTGAAGTCCAGGGGGGAAGACTTGGAGTTGTGAGCCTTTGTTAAGTTAAAAGAGAGAGAAGACTTCACGCTGTTTGAAATAGCCACACACCATAAAGAACCAGGTGTCAACAGAAGGTAGATAGATAACATATGGCACATTAGTAGAAGGAATTCTAAAATGAGGATGAATAAGCTGTAGCTAAACAATCAGTGTGTACAAATCTCACTCTAATATAATGGCAAACAAAAAAGTCAGACATAAAAGGAAATTAGACATGCGGAGATGGGGGTGGGGTGTCTGGCAATGCTGTTGTTTAATGACCTGGATATGGGTTGTAGGAAGTTTCCCCTTAGCATATTCCTTGAGTTGTATATTTATATGTGACTTTACATTATGTACAATTTAAAAAAAAATATGCATTGTGACAGAAAGGTCAAGGACATAAGCCATATGCAATAATGGTTTAGCAGAGCTGGATTCCCAATATGAAGCCCAGAAGGAGAAAATGCCACCTAGACTCCCAGCAGAAAGCAAGTCACCTGGCATGTGTTTAAGGTAGACACCTGTGAGAAGACCTGTGCATTGTATAGATATCACAAGTCCAAATTCATGATGCTTGCCTACCAAGAAAATGGTCTGTTTATACCATTTTCAAAAATGTTAGTGTGAGTTTGGTTTATAACACACTGGTCACAGTCTAAGGAATTACTCCTGCATGTGAGGGGCAAAGTTGCTGTCCTAGTTCCAGAACATCTTTTTGTTGACACACCTGAGTTGTTTAGCATTTCTACACTTATCCCTTTTAAACCACATGTCATTGACAGTAGGTAATGTGTCAATCAAGCATATATTTCAAATACAAAGGGTATATCTAGCATGCATTGGGGCTCAGAGTCTGGTGTTCAATAAACGAATGCTAGATATGTGTGGAGTAATAGTGTATGTTAAACAGAGTGCTAAATTTGCATGTTGTTGATTAAATGGGCATTCTTTTATGGTTTTGATAAATATTTCAAGTAACCTGCACCAAAGACCTTTGTCAAAACAGTGTTCTCCAAAATGGGATTGGGTACTCTAGGGAGGGTAAACTCCACATGGATCTCTTGGCATATGGAAAGAAATACTAAGGACTGATTAGGCAAAGAGAAATTGCACAAGGTGATCTGGTTTTAATTTGTGAGAAATTTCAGGTATGGTCCTTATCCATTCTCTCTGTCCATAAACCTAGAAGCCAAAAGTCTGCATTATCAACATTAAAAGCTCAAGAGAAGGAGGTATATCAATATTCTTAAAGTAAGGCATCTTAAAAATCTAACAGTTACAAGACCACTTTAGTTTAGAAGATTCCTGCTGCTGTTGCTAACTTAGCTACAGCCTGCTGGATACAGTAGAATTACCGGGACTGCATTTGTCTATAAATTGATTGGTCAGCACTTTCACATGAGAGTTTTAAGACACTTTTTTAACACTCAGTGGACCAACAGGTATGAATCACTAGATTTCACCAGTATAGGGGGTTCCTCAAACTGAAAATAACATTGCACTTCTGGGTGGGTAGCAGAGCGTTCAGTCAGCCCATAGTGAGTAGATGTCCCTACAGACTCATTTATTGAGGCATATTTGCAATAGCCAAGCTACAGTGCCTGACTAGTTATCTATCAGCAGATGAACAGGTAAAGAAAATATGGCATATGTTTTATTCAGCCACACACAACAATGATGAAATTATGTCATCTGCAGGAGAGAGGGGTGGAACTGGATGGAGATCGTCATGTTAAGAGGAATTAGCCAGACTCAAACGAAGCACAGAAAAGTGGGCTGCCCTCATGACCATGTGACCACACCATCATTAGGGGGAAGTTTTCTTTTTTTCTGTATTTTTTTTTTTTTTTTTAATTTTTCGAGACAGGGTTTCTCTGTGTAGCTTTGTAGACCAGGCTGGCCTCAAGCTCAGAGATCTGCCTGCCTCTGCCTCCAGAGTGCTGGGATAAAAGGTGTGTGCTACCACCACCCAGCTAAGGGAATAAGAGAGAACATCCAGAAGAATCTGGAAGAGTCCAGAGCAAAGAGAAAGCAAGCAGACTGGACATGGCCAGCACTATCCAAAAGAAAGCAAGAGAGAACACTGAAGATAACTGATTAGAGGGGGATAACGTTGCTGTTACATGGAGAACAAGTGGGTATCTGCACCAGTGGGAGGGTCGCCAGCTTCTGAACCGTATAACAGGTACTTGAGTAGAAACTGAGGGAGCCTGGAGCCAGCATGGGCTTTGATGTGCAGCCACTGGTGCCTGCCTCTCCTGCCAGAGAGAGAGGCAGGGGAAAGGACTCCTTTTGGGCATGGAGAATCCCTTTCACACATATCTGAGGGGATGCTGGGAAAGCCACTGGAAATCCTCCTGTAGTTCAGCATTGAGCTCATCTCTAGACATACGGCTTCCTGAGACCTAATAATAATAATAGTAATGTAATAATAAGGCATAAAAACAGAATGGGGGACTCTAGGGACAGATAGGGACAAAAGGAGGGATACAAGAGAAAGCTATGAGGAGCAGTGAGTATGATCAAGGTATATGCTGTCCTAGTAGAAACATGTTACAATAAAACATGTTCTTTTAGCTGGGTGGTGGTGCCACATGCCTCTAATCCCAGCACTCGGGGAGGCAGAGGCAGGTGGACCTACAGAGCGGATTCCAGGACAGCCAGGACTACACAGAGAAACCCTGTCTCAAATGACAAAAACACATATTTTCTGGGTTTTTGTCTATGTTTTGCCTTTATTCTGGGTAGTTTCCTCAAATCCGATGTCCAGTTGTGTCTTCGACTGCTGTGTGCAGTTTTTTGTCTTATCTGACCTTTGAGCTGCTCCTGGTATAAAGCAGCGGTTCTCCACCTCCCTAACGTTGCAACCCTTTAATACAGTTCCTCATGTTGAGGTGACCCCCACCATACAGTGATTTTCATTGCTACTTCATAACTGTAATTTTGCTACTGTTGTGAACTGTAACGTAAATACCTGTTTTGCAGTAGTCTTAGGTGACCCCTGTGAAGGGTCGTTCAGCCCCCAAGGGGTGGTGACCCACAGACTGAGAGCCACTGGCATAGTTGCATGCTTTGCACTTGGTTCTTTTTATGTCTGTATTCCTGGTTGTCTTGACAGTGTCTCATTCCTCCTCTGCAATTGCATGCTGGGCCCACTCAGGTCTTTATTAGGACATCAGGTGTCTTAGACAGGCAAAGAATCACAGCTTCACTGAGTTAAACAAATGCTGCATGGACAGAAGTCACACACCTTAAAATAGCATTCTACCACAGGCGCTTACTGCGGTGCACTCCACCTTCCTCTGCAAACCTAAGCTGACTGGTCTTCATGGGGCACTGTCGCTGGTGTACCAAGTCATCCATGCATGTGTAGTATCTGTAGTGCAGTTCTCTGAATTGAAGATGTGAGGATACTAATGGTGCTTTTGGTCTGCCAGAAGAAGGTCTCGGTTGGTCTTCCTTCACACTCCTGGCAGGATGGCCTTCTGGCTGGAGCAGGTCTAAGATGCCATTGATTGCAGAGATGTTAGTATGGAGACACCTGGGTCCTAGGACACCTTGTATATGGACCCATGAGTGCTCTCATATCTAATTACTGCTGACTGCCTGGAGACTGGCTAATGAGATGGACCTGCACTATGCTAAGAAGTATAGAGGGAGAAAATCCACCACACTGTTGAATAACATCTCTTCCGACTGATGCTAACTCGGCACATCCTATCTTCTCCAGTTGGCTGGGTGTCCTTCATTAGGAGAAGTATTGTCTTTGGCATGGACCCGTGATGTGAACCTGAGCCAGCTTCTCTGTGAACTGGTAGTGCTGGTGTTATCTTCTGGTATCTTTTTTTTTTTTTTTTTTTTTTAATCTGAGTTGTTTTTGTTTTGTTTGTTTTCCTTCCTTCAACCTTCTTTTCTACCCTGCCAGCCTGAGCTTATTGCCATTAGACATTCCATTTGCCTTATTCTCTTGCTTATTTATGTACAGCCTGCCTGCTGCTGCTTTATAGTAATTTCTCAAAGTGTGCTCATTACATTTCCATGGTCTTTTGGTACATATAGTACATGTAAAGGCTTTACCTGCTTTAATAGCTCTCTGGTTACTTCTTGGCAGTCTGAGAGGTAGGACATTCATGTCAGCAAGAGGGAATCTGAACTTCCTGCTTGCAAAGCAGACATCTCACCTACTAAGCTGTCTCCCTCTGCCTGCCATTCATTTCTTCAGTATGCTTCTACCGAATGCCTGCTCTGTGACACCTACTCTGTGAGTGACCCCATGGTTACTAAGCACTGAGGGTACAGCAATGAATGACAAGCATGCAGGGTGCATTTGTGTGCTGGTCTTCATTGGGACATCCATTCTGCTTCCTTCTAGTTTTCCTGTACTGAAGGCTTTTTTTGTTCATTTTCTCTTCACTATCAGGTCTCCTTTTCAGAAAGATGTCAGCTTTGAAAATTCTCATCTTAGTACTGGGATGTTACACAGTTGGTAGAGGGTTCGGCTAGCATGAATGAAAACCTGGGTTTGATCCTGTAAACTGGGCATGGTGGTGCATGCTTGCAATCCTAATACTTAAAAGCAAGAAGCTCAAGGTTCAAGGGTGTCCTTGGCTATACAAGACCCTGTCTTTAAATAAACAAACAACAACAACAACAAAAACCTAAAAACAAAAGCAGCTGCCTCTGAAGTAGTGCCCAAACCAATGCCTTTGGGTGTGTCTTGCTTTATTCTGCCTGCCTCTCTTTCTTTTGACCCTTGTGCTTAATTAAAAGTCTTTATTAAAATATTTAGCCCCAACTCTGCTTCAAAAAACAAAGAAAGGAAAGAACAGAAAAATCCTGCTAGAGTTTAGTAATGTATCAGTGTGCCAGTGTATGCTTCCTTTTCGTTTCTCACCAACATATCCTCTAACTATGACTCTTGTGCTGTTTTTGGTTTTTAGCCGATTACACCTCAACAAGAAGGCAACAGACAAGCAGCCATATAGCAAGCTCCCTGGTGTCTCTCTTCTGAAACCATTGAAGGGGGTGGATCCTAACCTAATCAACAACTTGGAGACATTCTTTGAACTGGATTATCCCAAAGTAAGTGTAGTGCTGTGCCCATGAGAGATGGACTAGACTGTGGGAATTTTAACACTATATAGAAGGCAGAAGTGCTGATTTTTTTTTTATATTCATAAAATTAAAGTAAGCTTGCTTGCATTGAGAAAGTTGGAAGGTTTTCAAGCTCATATTCAATAAGTGAATGTAAAGCAAACTTTACTTTTTGTGAATGAAAAGAAATTTTGTTGATTATGAACAGATCTTGGCATGTGCCTTAGCATCCGCGTGTTTCTGATGTGGAGTGTAACCTCACTATAGTGAGATATCCACCCCGAGTGCTTGTAACATTTTGGTTTTGCTGCCATCGTCCCATCAAAGCTCAAAGAACTAATTCCATGTGGCTCTTTTCATGTCCTGTAGTATCCTGGTGTATTTAAATTGGTGGAAGAGAAAAGCTGTGTTAGTCTTCAGTATGGAATGAGTAATAGCATACACCAGAGGCAGTTTCTAGTCGTTTAGTTTCTGAAGTTGAAAGCCGGAGAAATCCGTAATGTACCTGCGTCTAAAGGAGACTTTCATTCTGACAGTATTTTACTTGAAACATATTAACACCATGGTAAGTGTAGCACAAAACCATCTGGTTCTTGAGTACAGACAACATATTCAATATCATCTTTCAAAACTTTGAATTTAGAGGTATCTTCTTTAAAAACCTCCCCTTTCTGTTCTCTCTCTCTCTCTCTTTTTTTTTTTTTTTTTTTTTGCCCCCCACTCAGAAGTTACCCAGATGAACAAACTCCCAAGTGGACCTGTCACTTGCTCTGGACCACCAACTGCTCTAGGGACTAAGAATCCAAGTTCAGTTACAGGATTTATATTTTATTGTAATTCACATATAAAATTCTGTAAAACCTATAGTATGAAGTTCTTTATAAGTAGTAGCTCAAGATATATATGTGTGCATGTGTGTACTTGAGGGTAGGATGTGCCTCTGTGGAGCACTTGCCTGCCAGCGTGCAGAAGCTCTGAGCTCCCACCAGTGTAGCATAAACTAGGTGTGGATACGGCCTAAAAGCCATAGTCCCTGGCACACAGGGAACTGGGAGCCAGTGTAGGCTACAAGAAGCAAATGGGGAGGGGAGTTATTTTGCTTGATGTGCAATATAATTCGTTTACATATTAAAACATATTTTAGGACTTAGGGTGTGGCTTGGTAATAAGAGTGTGTGTTTAGCATGTATAGGGCCCTGGTTTCAACTTCCAGAACCACCGCTTAAAATTCTGTTTTGAATGGTATTTTGTCCATCTCTCCAGCCTCTCTTAAAATATCTTAAAGGTATATTTTAACATGTACTGTATTTTTAAAATGTATATGTGTCCAGTCTTCTAGAATGTAAAAATTGCCCCCAAAAGTTATTTTAATGTATCAGCTAGGAAACATTTAACCATTTCTATTATTTTGCCAGTTATTATTGGAGGGATTGGACTGTTTTAGTGTAGAGATTCCTAGCAAATAAAAGGACACAGAGGTGATACCTTGTTATAGTGCGATGCTTCAGAAAACACTTAGAACGCTTCCTTCAATTGGATAGAATTGCTCTTATAGAGACCTAAGTTTAATTCCTGGTATCTCACAACTGCCCATAACTAACTCCAGAAAATCCGGACTCTTAATGGCCTCCACAGGTACATACAGACACACAGAGACACACACACACAGACACTCAGACACACAATCTTTTTTTTATTAAGATTTTGGTGTGACCTGGTTTATGGTTTATGTTTTCTCTTCCCATTGAATATATTTTGCTGTTACATTTTATAAAGTTTTGTGTTTCTGGGAAGAAAACCACAATAAGTCTCTTCCCCTTACTTAGTGTCTTACAGAGTCATTACTTAGAAGCACTTTCCTCCACTTTGCTTATTCACACCTGTGAAGTGTGCATATTGTAAAGCATAAGCAAGGAATTCTTTAGGGTGTGCCTGGCTGAGCAGCTTAATAGAGAGGAAGAAAGCTAGCTTTGTTTTTGCCACTTAGAAAGTCACTTAATTTTTCTATTCTTCATATTTTTTTTTTTTTTTCCTAATCTTCATTATTAAGGGCATGGTCTTCTTCTACTAAGTGTTTTGAGAGATGGGGAAGCTTGTAGGCCTGGCCCTCTGGGACGTGTCAGGGGTGTGGTAGGGATGGCAGCCTTTGCTCTCTCAGACTTTCATCTGGTCTTTTGAGGCCAGATGACTAATAATTGGTTTAACCCTTCTTGAGTAGCACTTTTGATCAGTCATCACTGAAATAGATAATGGATAGAATTTGAATAAAGAGGTAGGAATCATGAGGGACCCATTCTTTGTTTTCACCATCTTCTTAATTATTAGGACTTTTTAAATTAAAAATCAGGATCCCCACTTTACTGACTTTGGTTCTAGTCCTCTTGTGGCTCAACCTCAGATACCTTTTCTGCCAGTTTTTGATGAGATAAGATGCATGCCAGAGGCATCGTGAACATTTTGTTTCTGCTTCTTTTGTTTGTATAAAGAAGCAAACAGTGGGCTTCCCTGTGGCTTGAGTGAGCCCCTGTGATGTAAGCACTTCAGAAGTTACAGGACAGTTGTGGCAGGGCCATGCAAGCTATCAGAAATGCCTTTCCAACGAAATGCCATCAAGCAAAATGAAATTCTGGATGTTTTCATACTTACTAGGTCAGTGAAGTATGCTTTTCAGGGTAGTAAGTATTGAGTCAAATACTATTTTATCTAAAAAAAAAAAAAAATTTAAACAGCAAAATAAAATTTAAAAACAGAAGAACTCCAATCTCACTTTGTTCTTTCCGAGACACCATTTGTAATTTGTAGTGATGCTACATTCCAGGGCAGAGTTCTGGAGAGTAAGGAGTGTGCTTGGCTTTGCTTCCTCTTGGTGTAGTTTTTATACTCCTGCACATCTCCTAAGCATCAAATGTGTGCTCAGTGGTTCAGGTCATGAACAAGCTTGATATGCAGGTTGTCACTGGGGTGGGGTCTGCCAGGCACTGCCAGGCTCCTCCTGATGCTGACAGACAGGTCCCTGGCCTGGAGAAGCTGTCTCCACCCAAGCCATACTTGTCATGAGCATCTGTGTGCCTTAGGATTTCTCCCTAAGCTTGTAAACTTTATGTACATAGTTTCTTCTTTTCCTTACAGTTTACTAATGTTAATAATGATAACAATGAGGTTAATCAATATTGCATTTCTGCTTTTGACTAGTATGAAGTGCTCCTTTGTGTACAAGATCATGATGATCCAGCCATCGACGTGTGTAAGAAACTGCTTGGAAAATACCCGAATGTTGATGCTAGATTATTTATAGGTAAATACAAAGTTTGTGTTGGCCATTTTGCTTTGGTAATTTTCGGTGTCAGTGATCTGCTCTGCATTAAACTCAGGGTTAGGCGCTTGCTCAGTAAAGCCAGACTGTGTGCTTGCTCTAAGTGTGTTTTCTGGGGAGTGGGGACAGGATGGATATGGTTCTAAAGTCTTGGTTACCAAATGACATACACACAAATAACATGTTACTCAATAATCAGGCATGAGTGTTTGTTGTTTTGTTTTTATATTTTTTTTTTTTTTTTTTTTTTTTATAAAATCTTTTTTTCCCCCTTTTTTTCTATTTTGATCTTCCCCTCAGTCTATGGTTCATCTATTCTCAGGCTGTAGGCCACCTGAGTAGTGGTGGGCATGGGTTCCATCTCATGGAATGGGCCTTACTTAGTTACTTGCACAAATTTTGTGCCCCTGTTGTACCAGCATGTCTTGCAGGCAAGTGTTTTCCTTTCTCCTCTGGTAGTGTACAGAGTACCTTCTAGTACTATGAACACTAGCCAGTAGGGGTGAAGGCTTGAGGCAGGCAGTCACCAGCTCGACCTCTCCATGTTAAGTGAGTTATGTAGCGGTTGCCTTCAACAGTAGGGACTCACCATCAATTTGTAGAGAGCAGCCAGTAGCCTGGGTTTCTTGCAGGATTTTAAGGGACCCCTTTGGCCAACAACTTAATCAGTTGTAATCCATTCCCCACACCGAAGGTTTCATTGGGTAGGGAGAGGTGTCTAATTGGGGCTTTGTCTCCCATTATTTGGTGAATCCTATTAGGTTTCTTTCATATATGCGCATATTTTGAGAACCTTCTACTATATTAGGTTTCCATATGCCCCCCTCAATTGACCCTTAGTTTTAGCTGTCTCTCTCATATTGCCCATAATGTATAGTATGATGTTTTAAAATATGTATATACTGTTGAATGGCTAAATCAAATTAATTAACATGTATACTTAACATACTGGTTTGTGATGAGGAATCTTAGCAGTGTTCAGATACACAGCACATGGCTGTTTTAATATCATTACGTTGTAATGTGTTACATAGTTGTAATGTGCCCATAGTGTTAGTGGAAGAATTTGCAGACAAGGAAACAGACTGTGTTATTGTCAAAGATAAAGTCAAAATTCTCCTTTTGTGAATGAGTCATTTTTAGAGATATGAGTAAGGGGAGATATTTAAAAATGTTTAAATTATGAAACATGACAGTATTCTTTCTCCATTGTGTATCTTTATAGTGTTTCCAGCATTATATAAATGTGTTATTATTATGCCTTTGCATTTTTAGGTGGCAAAAAGGTTGGCATTAATCCTAAAATTAATAATTTGATGCCAGGATATGAAGTTGCAAAATATGATCTCATATGGATCTGTGATAGTGGAATAAGAGGTGAGGGTTTTTTTTATTTTATACAATTACTCATTTAATAATAAAATGTCAAAAACATCTTGAAATTATATTGTTTACTAATCTTTGGTTTGCTTGAAAATTTACTTCATCATTACTTATGGCTTTATGTCAGTTTTGCTCACTAAGATTTTAATTTTTTAAGCTAACCTGGATGTTACATGTATTAAAACACCTACATTGTGAAGAGAAAGTTTCAACCATTAAAAAAAGTAGTCATGATCCATTATCCCATGCACAGTATAGCCTTGCTCTGGTGTAACATTTCTTATTTGTTGGGCACTTTTGCTTGTATCTTTAGTAAACTATTTACCCAAAGAGTCAGATTAATGAGCTCATGTTCTCCAAAATACATAAAATTATTAAAAAGCAGTCTTTTTTTTTTTAAAATTTAGATTTTTAGCAAGAAGGTTTTTTTGTTTGTTTACTTGCTTGCTTGTTCTAGTTTAGCTTTTAAAATAGTTATTTTTGAGGCCTTTTGAGACAGAGTCACATTATGCAGCCTTGGAATTCACCATGTAGACCAGACTGACCTTGAACCTGTGGCTATTTTTGCTTTTCCCTTCTGACTACTGGAGCTATAGGTAGGAGCCACCTTGCCTGTTGCAAAAGCCTTTTACATACCTAACTTGGGATTTATAAGTGTAAACATTTGTATTAAGCTTTATGGTATTTTTGTTAGATTGAGTTCCTCATCCTCAGTCCTAGTGACAGAGTGGCCTGAAGAGTTTGTCACTGAGAAAATGTTGTCATCATGCCTGGCTCCTCCGACCTGCTGGCTGCCACCAGCATCCTTCCCCCTTCTCAATTTTCCAAATGTTACTTAGGAAGAATTGTTCCTGGTTGAGAACCACTTTCTAAAATAGGGGAGAATTTTGTATCTTGAAGTGCTGGGGATTGAACACAGGCCTCATGCATGACCAGCAAGTGCTCTGTGCCCCTGAGCTGTGGCCGCAGCCCTGACCTATCCGAGTAGCCAGGCCTGCATCCTGAGGCCCTATTGTCATATGGGCATTTAAAACACAGACACAGCTCTTTTTGTTTTATACCATGTAGTTCTTAACGAATAGAAGGAAATAAAAACAGTCGTGTAGGATTTGAAGTGTTTACCATTTGAAGGTTGGACATTGGTTCAAATTTTTCATTACTAAGATAAAAATTTGAAAATTGATATTCAGTATCCTTACAAATTAATGAGCAATGTTACAAATTGAGGACCCATGGCCCAAATTCATATCCAATCTTCATGTTTGTAAATTTAGGTTATGTTCATTTAATTTATGCCTTTGCAACCCTGTGGTGGGATCAGGTGCATCTTACTCCCACAGAGAAAGCAGACGCACTCCTGTGGTTGAAGATGTATGAAGACCTGAGGCCTTTTGACCTACTCCTGATTGTACTATAGGACATTGGCTTCATTCAGTTGGAGGTTCTGACATAGAGGCTGCTGGTACCTCATTAGGAAGGAAGTTCTCAGGTTTCCAAGGTCAATGCCAGCTGAACTACCTTCTGCCTCTGAACTATTCTCGCGTTGAGTCGTAGAAGGTGGTTCTAGACTGTTGACTTACATTAAGTCAAGAAAACAGAAACTGCCTCTGGCACATATTAGGCCTCTACCTGTCAGGTTAAAAATGTATAGCTTTTTGAAGTTTTGTGTTCTCAGAATAAATGATTGCTATTTATTGAATCCAAATGTCCAAAAGAATCTATTAGTTTACAAAATATTACATTACTGGACGTTTCACTAAAAAATTGTGTTTTGTTTCCTTTCCCTATTCCCGCCTCCCCCCCATCCCCCTAAATTTTAGTCATTCCTGACACATTAACTGACATGGTCAATCAGATGACGGAGAAGGTGGGCTTGGTTCATGGGCTGCCTTATGTAGCGGACAGACAGGGCTTTGCTGCCACGTTAGAGCAGGTAAGTACAGTGTGTAAAATTGTGACACCGGCTCATTGTTCTCTCTCAGATGGGGCTACCTGACCTTAGCTGTATTGCCCATGTGGGAGCCTGCAGAGAGCACTCTGGTTCCTGGGAGGAAGTCCTCAGGTCCCTAGGGTCCCCTACTGCCAGCTGCCCTTACCCTGACAGGAGCGGCTCTGCATAGGAAACTGCTGGTGGCATTGCCACCTGCTGAACATGCATTTTTTCCTCCATAACGTGTTTACTGACTTGTAGACATTTATTCCAGATTATTGACTTACATATATCCTTTTAAACTGAAAAGTATTTTGTGACATATTATAAAGCACTTCAAATAACAAGAAAACAATGTTCTTGCAAGTCTTTATTTAAAAAAACAAAATACCTTTTCCTTTTAAAATAAATTATCTTGAAAAACATGTCTTCCTCCTCTTCTTCTTCCTCCTCTTCTCCTCTTCCTCCTGTCTGTAGGGGGTGATACATTATGGAGACACAGAAGCATACAACCCCACTACCCACTAATTACAGCAATTAAGGTTTAGTTTCATTCGGTCATTTTTGGCACACATTGTGATGGGTTTTGTTTTTATGTTTTTCATATGTGCCCTTTAGAAAACATGGTTGAAAGTGTACTCTAGAAGCAATTTATATATTAGTTTTTTCACTTCATTGGCTTTTCCCATATTAAAGCTTCACAAAGGACAGTTTTATTAGCTAACTCCTAATCTGTCATATCTACTATACTTTTAAACAGAAAGCAAGACTTGTCTTTGTGTCAAAAGGGAAAAAGACTCGGTTTCAGTTTTGATGTCTATCCACTTTCTCTTCAATATATCTTATATTCACTTGATTATTTTTCTGGTTGTCACAAATCTGAAAGGGTAAAGGCGCATTATTGTTGGAACTTTGACTTGACCTTTGGTAATTTGATCTGTCTCTGACTCTCATGTGTGTATATGCGTATTCAGGTGCATGCATGTAGGAGGGTGAGTGTGAATATGTGTGTTCAGGTGTATGTATGTAGGAGGGTGAGTGTGTATATGTGTGTTCAGGTGTGTGTATGTGTTCAGGTGTATGTATATAGGAGGGTGAGTGTGTATATGTGTGTTCAGGTGTGTGTATGTGTTCAGGTGTGTGTATGTGTTCAGGTGTAGGAGGGTGAGTGTCTATATGTGTGTTCAAGTGTATGCATGTAGAAGGGTGGCAGTCAGTCCCCTGTAGATGTATCAACTTGCGTATCTCAGGACTTCAAGGTGTTAGAGAGAAAGGACAGTAAGAGATTAGGGGCTGGAGAAATGGTTCAGCAGTTAAGAGTAAGTACTGTTGTTGCAGAGGACCAGAATTGGGTTCTCAGCGCCCAAGGTGGGCAGCTCACAATATCCTGTAATTCCCATTATCATAAGATTCTTACCCTCTAGCCTCCACAGCACCTGTAACCCCCACACATACTTACATGAATACACCAAGTTAAAAATAACTTTAAGAAGAAATAGAATTATCCCGAACATTGGTATACCTATATGTGGTCTGGGTATATATATACATTCTCATATGCACACATACATGCCATTGAATATTATAAAATAGGGAGATATTAAGTATTTTTTGATATTTTATATGCCAATTAATATCTATTCTTTTTTGTATCCAAATTCCATTATCAATTTTAGAAAAGATAATATTTATCCAAGTGTAGAATATGCTTTTCTCTCTGGAAGTAACTATTTTTCAATAATGATGCTAGTAAGAGTAGTCAGCCAAATGAATCAGTAACTGCTTGTACTATAGTAATACACTTGTGGGCTTTTTATTCAGGGGGCTAATGTGAGCATACTAGGATACTCAATCATATTTAACAGAGTACTTTTAACATTACATTAAAGCCTAATTGATCATGTCACTGTTTTCTTGGGCAGGTATATTTTGGAACTTCACACCCAAGATCCTATATCTCTGCCAATGTCACTGGCTTCAAATGTGTGACAGGAATGTCTTGTTTAATGAGGAAGGATGTGCTAGATCAGGCTGGAGGGCTGATAGCCTTTGCTCAGTACATTGCTGAAGATTACTTTATGGCCAAAGCAATAGCTGACCGGTAAGAAAACTGATTTTTTTTTTTTTTTTTTAAGTTTCTAGCTTATTTCTATTGGCTTGTTCTTTCTGTTCCAGCATGGATTCAGGCTATTTTATTATTTCTGCTCATGAATATAAAAATTAGTAATTTTGGCAGAGCATTCATGTTCAGTATTCATAGATAGGTACTAATGAAGCAAGGACCTTCCCCCTTTTCCTGCAGCTGCTGGCGTGTGAAGTAGCTAACAGGAAGCTTTAGAGAGAATATAGGTAGACATTCCTGTGTGTGTGTGAGAAAAATTAAGCATCTTGGTAGTTTTTGAAAATGAACTTACTACACAAATGTACACCATGTGTGCATCCGGTGTCCCTGGAGGTCTGGAGGTCAGAAGAGGGCATCTAATCCCCTGGAACCTGGTGGTTGTGTGCCACCATGTGAGTGCTGGGAATCAAACCTAGGTCCTGTGCAAGAGTTATAAATACTCTTAAACCACTGAGCTAGCTCTTCAGCCCCAAACTTTGACATTTCTTAGCACATTATTTCATGACTTAGCATTTCTCCATCACAGATACCGTGTTTGGGTTTAAAGGAGATCACTTCCTTGTATGATCTCTTATTTTAAAAAATTTCTTTTGATGAAGAATATATTCAAAGTCCTTCCATATGGTGTTTATGAGGTTCATGGTCACCTAGTATCTCCTGTGAGACACAGTATCACTTGGTAACTTTTCTTGTTGAATGCACACTCACACGCATGCATGCACACGCACAGGAAGAGCAACCAGAGACAAAACGGTTGAGTGCAGATCTCTTCTCACTGAGTACTTTGAGAATGGCTTAAGTTTCTTGAACTATAAACCTAGGGAATGTAGTTCTTCCTGGTCAGAATGTGATACAGTTGTGGGATATTGCAATTGCTCCGAAATACCAAGCTTGTCATGAATACCAGCAGCTGCTTACTCTGACAGTGACTAACAAATGCAGAACCAGTCAGGCTTGAATGTGTCCATCAACATAGATCATATTATCATTGTCTTTATTTTCAGAGGTTGGAGGTTTGCAATGTCTACTCAAGTTGCTATGCAAAACTCTGGTTCATACTCAATTTCTCAATTTCAATCCAGAATGATCAGGTAAATCAATAAGCTAACATTTTATACCTTGTTAAAAGGAATGTGCATGTGTGATTTGCCACATGGTACATATAATATGATTTAAAAAACAAATCTAGTGCCAGGCATCGTGGCACATACCTTGAATCCTAGCACGTTGAAGGCAGAGGAAGGCGAATCTCTATGAGTTTGAGGTCAGCCTGGTCATAGTGTGTTCTAGAATAGCCAGAGCTACATAATAGAGACCCTGTCTTAAAAAAAAAAAAGAATACATCTAAAGATTAATTTGCTTCCAGGAAACAGAGTTTAAGTTCTGTATTAAGAGAAATTTAATGCCTAAATATATTTTCTTAGTAATACTGAAATATTTTTAAAACAACAAAAGATGTTGAAACTAAACTCTGTATTTCTCAGGGTATAGATTATGTAAATGAATGTATAGCCAGTTTTATTTACTAAATAAAAATAGAAAAGAGATTCATAAAAGCAAGTCTGAGGCCTGGAGAGATGGCTCAGCCGTTAAAAACTAAGCTCATTTAAAAAAAACAAAAAACAAAAAAACCAACTAGGCTCACAACCAAAAATAGAAGAGTCTGGGCACCATGTCTGTCACTCCAGCCAAGTTAAAAAAAAGAAAGAAAAAAGAATTCTGGAGGTGGTGGCACACACCTTTAATCCCAGCACTCAGAAGGCAGAGGCAGGTGAATCTCTGTGAGTTCGAAGCCAACATGGTCTAAAGAGCTACTTCCAAGATAGATAGCCTTTCTGTGACAGGGTTAAAAGTTGATCATTTATGTGGGAGTGGTTGATGGGGGTCTGTGGTGCTGGGGGTGGTTGGTGGGGGTAGTTGGTGAGGGTCTGTCGTGGTAGGAGTGGGGTCAGGTGGTTACTTTTACAACCAGGATGTTGTCTTAAAGAAAATCCATTTTGCACTTTGTTTCTTCAGGTGGACCAAATTGAGGATTAACATGCTTCCTGCTACAATAATTTGTGAGCCAATTTCAGAATGCTTTGTTGCCAGTTTAATTATTGGGTGGGCAGCCCACCATGTGTTCAGATGGGATATCATGGTTTTCTTCATGTGCCATTGCCTGGCTTGGTTTATATTTGACTACATTCAACTCAGGGGTGTCCAGGTATGTACATACAACAAGAAAGGGCTCGGAGTAATTTGGTGACAGACCAAAACTATTTTAATGTAGAATAGGTTGAAAAAAATCCCAGTCACATTGAAGAATAAAATGCAGACATAAAATTAAGCAAAATTTGGAACTTATAGTCAGTTCAAAAAAAAAAAAAAATGTTAAGCAAATAAATACTCAAACTGAGACTGCAGTTATTTTAATGCTGCTTTTACTAATAATGGGCATTTCCTTAGACTATATTGTAAGGTAATTATCTCACCCAAGGAGTCACCTTCGATTTTTGTGGTGCCAAGAGTGGTGTGTGTGAGTGAGAGAGGGGGGGAGAGGGAGAGAGGTGGGGGGGAAGAGAGAGAGAGAGAGGTCTCCTTGCTCCCACGTGCAAGCCTTTCCTCCCTTCTACCAGATGGGTAGATGGGTTCTGGGGACTGAACTCAGGTCATCAGACTTTGCTAGCAGGTACCTTTCCTTGCTGAGCCATCTCACCAGCCTAGACTTTTATTCTTTCACTTTGCATTTAGTCTGACAGGAAATAAAACTGATTTTTTACTTTTAATTCTTAGGGTGGCACACTGTGTTTTTCAAAACTTGATTATGCTGTGGCTTGGTTCATCCGTGAATCCATGACAATATACATTTTCTTGTCGGCATTATGGGACCCTACTATAAGCTGGAGAACTGGTCGCTACAGGTTGCGTTGTGGAGGAACAGCAGAGGAAATCCTTGACGTGTAACATGAGCTTTGCAACTGTATGGACTGGACGGAACAGAAGTATTATAAATTATGTTTATAGAAATGCTTTTAAAGATCTACCTTCAGTAGTTTTATCACATGTATGTTTTGGTATCTACTCTTTAATTTATTTGCATGGCACTCGCATCTGTGAAAAGGAAAAAAAAAAACAAAACAGGTCTGTAGTCTTGGCCAATAGTATATTTTGTGGAAGTAGAGAATCAACACAATTGGTTCTAGGAAACTGGGTTGTTTTTTTGTTGTTGTGTTTGTTTATTTTTTTAAACAAATAAATACATATATACATATATATACATATGTGTGTATACACACACACACACACACACACACATATACATGACTGCTCTGCAGCAAACACTATGACAGTATCCTTCAGTAGGGAAAGTTTCTTACCTGAGTGTGCTCACTCTATGATCTGTATGGGCAGGACAATAGCAGCTCTGTGAGAGAAGGGGACAGCTCATGGCCTCCCCTGTGTGAAGTGAATGACGATACACAGGGAGGTTCTGACTGAGAAACTTTTTCATGCTTTATGCCTACCTCTTGTAGTTGTTGCAGAGCAAATAGAAGTTAGAAGTTGTAATACGGTAGCTAGGCCTTGCAAAAACAAATGGAAAAAACTTTAAAAAGTAATAATAATAATAATAATAAGAGCTGGAGTCTAGTATTTATATGAATCTGTGAGATTTTTTTTTTTTTTTTTTTTTTGGTCTTACTGTAATGAACCAAAAGTGGCTGAGATTGGTTTTTAATCCTAACCATGAATTGAAGGCATCTTCTGGACCAACTGTTGTTGGTTCTGTCTTGAACCATGTTAATCACTGTGCTGTAATTAGGAGAGCTGAATCTTTCCTTCCCTGCTCCTTGCCCAGCCTGCCCCATCTTTCCTTAGCTTTTTTTTCAGGGTGGGGGGTGGGGGGTGATCTTGTTCTAGTGTGAGTGGATGTTTTGATAGTTGTAAGGAAAATGCATTTCAGACACAGTTCACAGGAGCTATTTTCTTACCCAGTATGTCTGTATTGTTAATAAGAATGTAATTTCATGATATAGGTATTTAATATCTTTTTTAAGTAAGTAAATATTCTAGCTATCAGTAAATAAATTACAGTAGAGAATTAAGAGAGGACACGATGAGGTTTGCTCTTAAAATCAGTATCTGAGTCTACTGTGTGTGTGTGTGTGTGTGTGTGTGTGTGTGTTGTTTGTTTTTGTTTTTGGGGTTTTTTTTGGGGTTTTTGTTTTCTTTTTTTTACTACAATAGTCTAGTCTTATTTAAATTGGATTTTTGTATTTCATTTGTATGACTGTAGTCTAGGTCAGCCTGGCTGTAAATGCATGCTTACTTTACTCTCCTCTCTCCATCACTCAGCTAAACTTGCTTGTCAGCCTGTGCTTAACTTGTGGTGAACTGGACTTTTGTTTAAAATAAGCAAAAATGTAAGGGACAGTGCATCAGCCTCCCCCCTCCCCATCTTTTTTACATGGTATTTTGCTTTTCCTTCAGAACTTGGTGGCATGTTGTCCATCTGATGCCTGCTGCTAACACCAGCACTATGGCAGCTTCATATTTTATGTTATTGTGGCTTCGGTGTCAGTCCATAGCGTGTAGCCTATTAGCAATAACTTCCTACTTACAGAGAACACTTTATCCTACTGAGCCAGTCCATTTGCCTAACGACTATACACACGGTCTAAATTGCAATATATCTGTAAATGTGTATATACTATAAATACATACCACACATTTTTCTGGGCCAAACTCCTCCCTTCCCTCTTTCCCCTGGCTTCCCCCACTCTGTCTCTGTCTCTTTCTCTGTCTCTGTCTCTCTCTCTATTTCTCTCTCTCCCTCTCCCTCTCTTGCCTTATGATGAATTTGTTTGAAGGGCATTTTCTTTATAAGCAAAGGCTTGGATGCATATTTCTTTCTTTTCTTTCTTTTTTTTTTTTTTTTCTTTATTTTCTTTTTCTTTTTCTGTGAAATAGGTAATATCGTCCCCCGAGGAAAGTTGCACAGTGAAAACCAGTCTGGTTATGACCCACTATGTGTTTATTTTTTAGTCACTCTTTCATGAGTTGAGGTTTGCTGAGCATGTTTGTCATTTGTAGATGCCATCCTTTGCACTGCTGGAGTGAAATCTTGCTGACTACTTAGCTTTTTTGTTGATCTCAGTATGGGCAAAGAAACAAAATCCAAATGGCTGGACAAACTTCTTGTGTTCTGTAAATATTTAAAAAAAAAAAAAAAAGTTCTGTTTGTGTTTTATGTGGTCATGGAGTATTTCCTGAAAGTGGAGCTTCAAGTATGCAGAGAGTGACTCTTTGTTTAGCAAGTTTGGAGTGAAGGAAAAATAGTAAGAAATACTGTAAATGTCGAAGTATCACAGCAGAACTGTAGGAGTCCAAATTTATAATAAACTGTCTTTTTAAAAAAAATCAATTAAGTGTCTAGAATATATCATGTTTTATTATTTAAAATCATTGTCTTAAGTTTTTTGTTCATAAAATAAAAATTTGGATATAATCAACATGAGTAACAGTGTGGTTTGGTTTACTCCCTTTCCCTTTATTTTATGCTTTTGATCAGTGATCTAACGTGGTCTGACTCAGACATATCATTTGTTTTCAAACCTTCCTTTCATTTGGGCTACCCTAGGCTGGAGAAGGTAAAGTACTTGTGCCCCATCCACACATCGTTTATCATCCTGGGTGGGGCTGAATTCTGCAATGGCCGCACTTGGAGAATAACTAACCCTTAATGGCAATGACCCCTACTACAGACCCAGCATTCCCTTTGGAAGCTCTCACCCAGCTTCCTGAGCCTTTTCGATTTTATCACTTCCACAGCTAAGAAAGGTAAATCAGTCCTAAGGAAGGATTAGGTGGTCCTGCTGCCTGAGGTACTGAGCTGCACCACACAGACACTGTCCAGGCAGGCCTCTCCTGAACTGGAGGCATTCCCAAGCCTGACCTCAATAAACCATGAGTAACAATTTCTGGAGAGCAAGTTTGGTTATGGTGGGGGCAGGGGCATCCTTCAAAATCCATGTTGACTGTCGAGCATGTGTTGTGTTGTGTTCCCCAGAGCAAGCTGGCTAGCTAGACAATTAGACAAGCCTAATTGACCTCCAGGTTCAGGAATAAACCTTACCTCTCTGTATGTATCGTGGAGAGTGGTCAAGAAGCCACATCAGCTTCTGGCCCACATACACATGAACCCACACAGGCAGGCACACCACATGAACAGATGCAAAGCAACAAAAACCCTTGTGTTCTTGTTCTGCAGGCTTGGTTTGTGTTCTCTAGAAGGGTTTTTATTAGTTAAAATACAGAGCAGCAGCCTAAAGAACCAGTGCATGCTAAGGCTTCACAGAGCCTTTTCCCAGTTCTGGGAGAGGCTGGAAGAGTCTAGGTGTTCCAGGGATGTTTTCATGTGGTTATGCTGTTCAGACTATTAGTCATCAAGACATCCATGCTAATAGCATAAAGATATAATTACATGATTCAAACAATTGAGGGACATCATTCTTGTGAAGGACTGAGGATCGGTTTACCAGCCTCATCTGCAGACTGCATGTCTCCCACTGTATTGTGACCTGTCTCCCGGCCCCACAAATCTGTGACTTCTGTCACCTCTTCTCATGACTGACATCAGATAGCCAGAGCAACAGGCAGAATGTTGGAGCGTCTAATTGATTGTGATGCAAACACTGGAGCATGAGAAGGGAATAGAGTGATGGACTGGGCTGGGTATCATGGGTACCTGTAATCTTAGCATTTGGGAGGCTAAAACAGAAAGCCCATCCTAGGCTACATAGCAAGATCCTACTTAAAACTCAAGTGGAAGAGGTTGAGGGGTCATTTTGATAGGGCTGATGCCTGAAGGTGATGATTATAATACGGGGTGTTAGCAGATAACAGCAAAGGACAGAATCTTGGGTAGCTGTTTGTAATCTACAGGATAAAGTCATCCAGGAAGGAGCTAGAGAGGCAGCTCAGCCACTAAGAACCCTGGCTTCTGTCCCAGAGGCCCCAGGTTTGATTCCTAGCATCCATGTGGTTTGTTCACAACCATCTGTAACTCCAGTTCCAAGACATCTGACATCCCCTTCTGGCTTCTGAGCACAGATATGCATGCAGGCAAAACACCAATACACGTAATTTTTTTTTTTTTTTTTTTTTTTTACAAAATCCAAGAAGACAGACTTCCAACTCTGAGGTTATATGGGCTTCCTGGTGGCCCTGGGACTCTGACCAGCTTTCTTAATCTTTCTGAAACCCAGTTTACCACCATATACGATGATGGCCTCTGAAGTCCTCTCCTTGGCTGAGTAGATGAAGTGTGTAAAATGTGATGGTTAGTTCCTTTCTGCTTCCAAATAAGAAAAAAAATTCCGGGGGCGGCATCTTGGAAAGAGATTTTAGAATTTAGAAAGAAGGGGTGGGGTGGATAATGGAAACGGGGCAATGTCAGTGAGTTCAGGAGCAGGCAGCATCCCCAGTGTGGCTGGATCTCTATCCATCACCATGAGCTGTCTCACAGAATGAGGGAGTTTTTGTGTAGGAGTAGCATCCTTGTGCTGTGATTTTTTTCATATGGTGTATCCTATTCCTCAGAAAAGAGAGGAATGGGGTTTTCAGAGCTAAAAGCTGGCTCTGCCCCTTGATGATGCCCATCCCCTCTTTTATTGAAGAAACGTCTAAAGAAAGACATCTCTAGGGGCTAGGTCAGCTGGGTGGAGCAACCAGAATGAAGTGATCCCAGGACAGGAGGATGGGGAGAAATGAAAGTCATGACACATTCCCAGCAAGACTTGGTGAAAGCAAACATTCTGATTTCAATTCTCAAGAAGGGGAAATCCTGGCCACACCACCCACCACCCACAAGCTCTGGCCACAGTGTCTTCATTTGTTACTGCTTCTCCGCCTGTTGCTAATTTCCTACTTGGACTGCATTGCCCTAACTTCAGCTTAACCTCTGGTGTTGGCTTCTTTCTGGCCTTATTGTTTAAAACTGGAGGTTTTAAAGCAATAGACAGGTTTCTTTGTGTGTGTGTGTGTGTGTGTGTGTGTGTGTGTGTGTGTGTGTGTGTGTGTGTAGACAGGGTTTCTCTGTGTAACAGAATGTGGTCTGTAGACCAGACTGGCCTGGAACTCA